TATATGTGTATACCACCTGGAAATACATCAGACATTTAGGTCCAGCAAAGTGCATTTGTAAGAGTAGCAAATATACTGAGCAGAACCCTCAAGCTCCCAGGTGTCTGTGTGAAACCCTGTATATACTTTATATACCCAATACACCTTTTCCTCCTTTTTGCACCTTCTTTTTGACTATTGAGCCGATGTAACAAGTACATTTATCCAATGTGTTTTATCAATCAATCAATCAATCAATCAATCAATCAATCAATCAATCAATCAATCAATCAATCAAACTATGTTTTTGATCCAGAATTAGTTGCTGTTTATTGGTGTCTTTCATAAAAAAAAGAAATAACTGTTTTTATAAATGAGACACACAACAGGAGGTTTTCTTAAGTAGTGACTGATTCACTATCTGAAAAGGATCAGAACATGATACAACCAACATATTATAGAAAATGCTTTTTCTGTTTTAACATTTCAATAAAAGATGTGGATTAGAAAAGGAGTTTGAAAGGTTGAGGAGCTATTCATCAGCATGTGCAGACAATCATAAATGAAAAACACAGAAACCTTCTGTAGTGACAGTGTAATCACTTTCAACTAGAACACCCAATAAAGTCCATATAATGAGGTGTCTGACCCATCGTGACCTTTAAGTATTAGTAATTGCTCAGGTATAGCTGATAAGTGTATAAACATAATGAAAGCAGCCGTAATAAACTGTTTATTCTTCTGACAGTTTATACCAATAAATGAAGCTAAGCACGTGGAAGTGCAAAACACCTATGTGTGGAAATCCGGTTGTATTATATGTATTGAAAAATCTATTGTTATGTAAGTTAATTTACTCCAGGACCGCAGAATTTACAGGCTAGTAATTAGAAAAGATCAGACTTGAAAGCCACAAAGGTTAGAGAAACATTTTGAGTCTGTTGTTGTTGAATAATATTTTGGAACACTTTTAAGATCTGCCTTGGCTACACGGAGGCTTTGTCATTGGTATATATTTATATATAAGGCTATTCTTGGTGCATTTCCATCTTATTTATGTTCACTTCTTATGAAAAAAAGTACTGGTCATTACTCTCTCCGTTCTCAGGCTGTTGTCTTGTTTTCTGTCCCACGTGTCAGTACTGAGCTGGGTAAAAAGCCCTTTGCTTACTTTGCTCCCTTTGCATGGAATTTGCTGCAAAATATGAAACTTGAAACTTGAAAAACATGAAACTTAGTAG